TGTACTGGACATCTTGGAAAACAATTTTAAACAATATACTATAACATACGCCACACAAACGACTGATTACAACCCTGTGCTGGTACCGAACTCGTACCAAGAAGACGAATTCACCAATGAACGCTGACCTTTCCATCTGACACTGGGCGATCACGTGAACATCACGCTTCGGTTTTGTTTTACTCCTTCTTGGATTTGGATAGACTTTAGTACCTACTCGTCTACCTAAATAATGAATCTACCTGTAAAGGGCAGGTATGAATTCATTAACAATATCAATACATTTTTCGAAAGTATACCTGTAAATATACCTAACTCTGAGATTCTCAGAGGGACTTTTATTGTGGTGTTAACGTTCGAAGGTGGGGGCAATGGGGAAGCGAAGTATTCGAAAATTACATTTCAAAATACGTTTTGCGTGCGTTTCGACCGTTCGGTGTGCGTTCGTTCGTTATTGTCCAAATTAATCTGAGAAACTTCCGAACTAGTCGTAATTCGAATTTTATTCGAATCAAAAATAAAACGTAATTAGAATATTATTCGAATCGAAAATATACAGCTGCTAAAATGGAGATAATATTTGTACACATCGGAGGGATGAGGTTTGTTAATAAATACAAGAAAGTGAGTTCTCAAATGGATTTCAGAAAGAAAGTGGTAATTTGAGCTCCTGCATCCATGAGGTTCTTCAAACCCATAGATGAATTAGATAGCAATAATCCTCATGTCAAAGAAATGATGAACACGTATATTATGATTGAATTTCACCAATAATCATTGAAATGAATAATTGATACTGATACCATATAGATTGAATCTGTGCTTCACAAGTATAGTTAGCAAATCTTAGAATAGGCAGGTCATGTGAACTACATCAGGTACCAAATTTATCAGGTATCTGAATTAAAGTTGGTTATTGTTCCTTGCCCTATATTAACGAAGTTGTCTCACTATTGTCTAGAAACTTCTTCACTCTTATATGTCATCAGTGTTTGTTTTTTGGAAAATCTTCGAGAGCAATGAAAAAACAAATAAATTCTTGTGAAAGAACAAGGACATTTTTTACGAAAAATCAAATTTCCGAGTTGGAGAAATTCTTCAGTGAAAATCAATACCCCACTATGGAGATTAAAGTCGAATTGGCACAACAATTAAGTTTGGGTGAGAAACAAGTGAGTAATTGGTTCAAAAATCGAAGAGCGCAGTTCAAGAAAGATATTTCCATGGCCAGGAAATTCAATCATCCACGAGAAACTATCACGGAAGTATATAACAAAGATGATGAAAATAAATTTATGCCGGACATTTCAGTTTATAGTCTCAGTGAAGTAGATTTAAATACACCTACCGAAGTGATGGCCTGGTCTTCAAAAAGTCCTGACAATATATCGCCTACATCTGCGGAAGATGATTTTTTGGAAATAAGTAATGAAGCTATAAGTGAACATCACGTGACTGTTGAACAGGAAGACAATAGTCCCAGTCCTGATGGAGCTGATCTATCAATGTCTGAATTGTTCCGGTACATTTTTCATGTTTACCATAGTGTTTTCATGAATGAATATTAAAATTCTTAGAGCCGATGAATTTTGTTTTTTGTTTGTACTCTAAAAATAACAACTTGAAGAACAAATTGTTTAGCAGTGAGGATGACTGTGTTCCATTGTAAGTGAATTTTACTTCTTTCATTAATTATATTGTGTAGGAATCCGTTTGTATTCCAAATATTCGTTTCCGTTACGAATATTTGGAATACAAACGAAATAAAGAAAAGTGTTTTTCGTATAATTCAGCGTTCATATAAAAGTATTCGTTTCGAATGCATTTTTCTTTCGTGTAATTCACGTTTCAAATGCATTTTTCTTTCGTGTAATTCAATGTTTATATGAAAATAACTGTTTCGAGAGGGCTTTTTCTTCCAGTTTGTGTGTGTCAAAGTTACTTCTTTGTATGGTATACACATCTTTCTATAGAATTAATTTCTGAAATTTGTTGCTTCCTTTCTTCCTTTTTATGGAAGATTATTACATTTTTTGTATAAAGATGGAGAACTAGAAGGCCAAAACCTTTCTTTTTCAAATGTGAGATCCGGTCTTCAATAAAACCTATGGCTGTATCTGTTCAGATGTTCAGAATGAATATTTCGTATACCGTAGTTTTATGGTACAGAAGCGCCACATATTTTTATTATTTGTTTCTTGGAAATTACGACTTTGTATCTCGAAATTTCGACAAATAAAAAAGGGTGAGAAATTTTAATCTCACGATTTGTCCATAAAAAATCATTGAATTCGAAAAACAGATAACCGATATACTTTATAAATAAATGTCAGATGAAACTTTCAAAAATAACTCCATAATGGCGTATTCCCTTACCAAATATAAATACTCATCTACTATCCATGTCATATTGAATATTACTGGAGTTTTTTCCCAACACCAAATCGTTATTTTACACCTCGACACGTGTTTCGATGACCAAGTGATCATCTTCAAGAGGAAGATAAAACTAACACTAATTTGGTGTTGGGAAAAAACTCCAGTAATATTCATTACTACACCAAAGGTTCCAAACAGTACATCACAAGTACATGTCATATTAGTCAAGTCCCAGAAATATTATAGGTAACAGATGCCTAATCAGGTAAAAATTAGTATATTGAAGCATATAAATACCTACATGTTACAAATGATGAACATATTTTGAGTTGTCAGATAAGTCAGTACCAAGCTATTAGCTATCCATATTTTATTGTGCAACAATTCCAATATAAAATTCTCAATATGCAGTTGTGTGTGCGAGGACAGAAAACCCTTTACATAGAATGCGATGAGAACCAAACTATTGGAGAAATTAAGGTATGTATTTTTCAGTTTGTAAAATCAAAATTTGGTATATGATTTTAATAAAAGATTCGTAGATTGCCTTTAGTTAGTTTTATGATAATTTCATGATGTGAGTTCTTGGTTCTGGCTCCAGGAGTCGGCAAAGCATGACGATCATTCTATGATCGATGTCGAAACTTGCATCTGAACGAAAGAGAATTTATGAATATTGTTTTCAGCGAAGATATTATGCAGTTGTAAAATGTAGGTGATGAATGTAAATTTGTTTTTCAGAAACGTCTCGCTAGTTTGGAATATTTCAAGATATCCGAAATAAGTCTTTTCGCTGCCGGTGTACCAGTACTGGACGATAGCTTGGTGTTATCATTCGGCGATGTAGATATCGAATTGACCGTAGGACTTCCTGGAGGCAAAGTTCACGGCTCTTTGGCTCGTGCTGGTGAGTAACATTAATATTAATTTGGCTTGGATCACGTGAACTGTTCTTGTGTGAATAATTATCACTATTTGTTGTTGGCCATATTTTTTCTAGTGATATGGTACATTGCGATTACCTTTGTTCCAATTTTCACCAATAGGTAAAGTGAGAGGGCAGACACCGAAGGTTAAAAAGCAGAAGAAGAAAAAGAAGAAGACGGGGAGAGCGAAGAAAAGAGAACAGTATAATAAGCGATTTAATAATGTAATTACGTATGGATCAAGAAGAGGGCCCAACTCAAATGCTGATCGTGCTCTACTGTGAATTGTGTCGATCATGTAGCGACATTCAAGATTATCACTAATGAACGTATACTCATGTAATTGCTTTGTTTGATATTCAGTGAGCAATACATGCTTTCGAATAAATAATGTTTTATTTATTTTATTTTGGTACAATTATTTCATTTTAAAAAACCATTGAATATATTAGCTCGTGTTATGAAGCCGTCCCTATATTCAGCTGCAGTGTATGTAAGTGCTACGATAGTCAAATTAGGAAATATCATCGCGCTGAGTTGAAATACATATTCTGTAAGTAGGAGATTTGAGCCGGTTCTAAGCCTCCCCCACCACTATGACGTATTAATTGCTTTTTTATTGGTTGTTGTTTGGTGAAGTCAAGGTGATGTGACCTTGAAGGGTGTGGTGTATGGATCGTTCAGAAATTTTTTCCCGGTTCTAATCCTCCCTCCACCAATATGACGTGTTATTTGCTTTTTTTGTTGTGCAGTGAAGTCAAGGCGTT